GTAAAAATGATAGATTGACAGGATTTTAGTGAAACCTACATCTAACGTAGCTCGCCGCGCGAAGGTCCCATAAACTTAAACTTGTAACAATATTCGGGAAAGTTATTTCTTTCTGATATATTTTATAACCCTATGTTTTTTTTCATCTATCGGACTATATTTGGAGAAAATTTGAGAGAAATTGGATAAAAATTCGCCGAGTAATGGTAAATCTCCCGAAACCTGCGCGTAGGGTCTCCTGTAACCTTAAAGACAAATGTTATGATTTCAGGTGTCCCGATATCAGGGTTCGTAGCGGTCTTTGAAATCCTTGAAAGTCTTTAAATTTGATTTCAGGTCTTTAAGGTCTTTGAAAAGTCTTTGAATTGTGTGAAAAAGCGAAGAAAGTCTTTAAATTCTTTAGTGAGTATTTGACTATACGATTCCCTAGCTAATAAAATAGATTGATTGAAGCAAGATTTTCGCAAATATCAACGAAAAGGTGGATTTTAGGATGTCATTTGACGCGACTAGTTACCGGGTAAAAATGGTGCTTACACTCGCAATTTTTCGACAGCTGATTGCTCTCAAAGGTCTTTGAAAAGTCTTTGAAAATAGGCAGAAAAAATCTTTGAAAGTCTTTGAATTTTTTTGGTCTTGGAGACTACGAACCCTGGATATCCACAGGATACCAGATTTTAAATTAGGATACTGGACAAATCTCCATTGGGTTAGGAAACAATTTAGCCTTTCTTACGGCCGATTTGTCCGCCATTTTTGAGGCACTGCCTCGCCCACCTTTCAGAGTCTTTGCACCATGAAATGCAACTTTTAGTATTGTAGTTGCTTGTATAATGGTAAATTTACAGTTGCAACTTTTAAAAGTCGCTTTTCACGTTGTTTGAATTTTCTAGAAATTTTCACGAGGGCAGACAGTACCCCAAAAATGGCGGATTTTGGCCTTCGTGAGAAAGGCTGCGGCTCCACATCATGCTGTATTTTTCAGTTGTTTATGAATGCTTCAAATGCTTTATAAACATATATTAGATTTATGATATTACCAAATTACAAATTAAAACTCATTTTGCCTTGTTTTGAATATTACTATTCAAATTTGGGATACAAGAATTTCGTGGTGGACATCAAATTATACAATTACTTTATGGTTTCCGCGTTTGGATGGCCTGATCCAAGAAGGCGAGTGATTTTGCACGCTTTTCTTAACTCGAGCAACATTCCCAAGTGTTTGGATCAGGCCATCCAAACACGGAAACCATAAAGTAATTGTATAATCTGATGTCCACCACGAAATTCTTGTATCCCAAATTTGAATAGTAATATTCAAAACAAGGCAAAATGCGTTTTAATTTGTAATTTGGTAATATCATAAATCTAATATATGTTTATAAAGGATTCATAAACAACAGAAAAATACAGTATGATGTGTAGTATCCCACCGGACATCACAGAAAAAAAAAATTAAATTCCATTAATTGTTTTTAAAGATTTACCATGTACTGTATACTATCAATGTTAAAACTGAACTCTTACCATTCATTATTGGTTATTATTATAAGGCTTTTCAAAATTCTCTATTCTGATTGGTTGACAATCTGACCGCTTGGTCCGTAAAAACCCATATCCGGACCGTGGTCCGTATTTTCCGTATCTGGACCGGTGTCCCGGATGTCGTTTATATGGCGGGAAATGTTTGCTTTGCAAACAGAAAATTTTTTTGCTTTTTAAATTTCCAATTGTGCTTTACAGATAAAAATTTCAAACAACCAAATTGTTTTTGATTGAGCATGCATGCCTGCCGTATATTGTTACCCAGTGAAACTGACGATCTAGCCGATTTAATAAGTTCAGCCATATAATAAACCGATTATTGACCTCGCTTGTTCAGTCTGTACTGTGAAATATCAGACCTCTGTTTTTTGCATGGACCTCGCTCCTTCGTCAACTCGGTCCATACTAAAAAACCTCGGTCTGATATTTCACAGTACACGGACCTCACGCTCGGTCAATAAGCCTTTATTACAGATTTTCCCCTATGGTAAATTGTTAAAAACCATGATGTTCAATGTTTACTATATGGGAAATCTATAATAACCAAGAATGGTAAGAGTTCAGTTTTTACATTCAAAAATCCATTAATGGAATTTAATTTTGTCCCTGTGTATATAGTGTTACTTAAAAAATTTCAAACTTCAAGCCCTGGATTTTATGACCTAATACTGTATCTTGATTAGTGATACCTTCGGATAGAAAAAAAACCAGGAATTAGCTGGGGGAAAAGGTACTGTATTAAAACTAGGCTGATGCAATATTTATCAATATTTTCAATATTCCATTTTTCGCATATCAAATGTTTTAACCAGACAACTTAATTAATATCCTTTTTTCGGCAACTATTGTCCGGTAAAGTTTGGAAAACATGTGTATGATGGCAATTGCAAATTCAAGTAGCAAGCGTGTGGGCAATTTAAAAGTGGAAACAGAGTAAGTGTGATCAGAGCAGATCACCACCCATATGAGCGGCAGTTGAGCGTTTGAAAACAATAACTGTGTGATGATTCATAAAGATGGAATCTGCACTACTTTGAATAATGATCTTAATGGCACATATGGGCACACAGACGCAGGTTTAAAAACAAAGTTTCAAAAAATCATAGCTCATTCTAACTCACCACTTCTTTGCGAAGGAAAGTCTAGACAATACAGTATGTCAAATCAACAAAGTCCTATTTGGATTTACTATATTATTAAGAAAAGTGATGAAAATGATGCAAGGCCGGTGAGAGCCAACCACGGGCCCCGGGACAAAATGATTGGTGAACACGGGCCCCCTGTCCCTCTCGACTCTCCCTCTGGCTATTTTTAATTGCAATCAATCAACGAGAGAATTTCCAGCGAATTACTTGCAAGAAATCGCCGCATAACTGATGAAAACGCAATGTGAACAATGTTCAGCTAACTGGGTTTTTTTCTGAGAAAACGATCGAAAAATCTTTATTTCACATTTGGTACGTTTTACGATCGATCACGACGATCAGCGGATAGTGTGCAGATAGGCGTATTTTATTTAGGACAAACATAAGGCAATGATAAACGATACGAACATTTTACCGAGATTTCCGGGCCCCTCTGAGCACTCCGGGCCCCAGGTATTTTGCCCCCCCCCCTTGCCGGCCCTGAAATGATGACCCTTTGTTTCATGCATGCAGTTTTGTTTTTTGCTGTTTGTGATGCATGCGGTATACATGCAAGTTGACTAAACTACATTTCCTAATTTCTATAATAACAATATTATCTTTTGTCCAATCGTTATATATCAATTTTTTTCAATACTTTCAAATTTTGTTGCATCAGCCTAATTAAAACTGTTTCCAATCTTCATAGATACAGTATGGATACAGTACTGGATGTCAATTCCATGATCTTGGCTTCACTTTTCTCATAGGCCGAATGACTGACGTTCTCGCTCCAGTATATCTAGAGCTCACTGCATGGTGACAGTATGCTAAGTAATATCTTCACTTATGCTAACATCCATCAACCTAATCAGAAATTTTCATTTCAAACTGACATACCTTGCATTTCCCTGCAACAGGGCTTGGCCACAAATTTTCCACCCATCAGCAGAGTTTTTGAATTGTTCAAAGTATGCTAAAGTCTATTAAAAGGATATACATCACAATTGTTTAGATTACTGTCGTGATTACAATTGTTTTATGTTGGACAATCATGCAGCCCAAATTGTGGTCTATTGGCAGTTACTTAGCAAGGAAATAATGTTTTGCAAAATACAGTATAATGTGGACACTTACTGTATTTAACGCATTAAGTTATTTTACTCTGTCTAACGGCAGACAACTTTACTTGTAACTTAATGGGTTAATCTGCCCAATCATGTGTCTAGTTAATCCATTAATTAAGATGCACTGCACCCTAATGTGCTCTGCTTATTGTTATTTTACTCTGTCTAGCACCCGCCAAGCATGGGAGTGCTAGCCTTCAACGGGTTAACTAGAAGATCGATGAGAGCACTATACTCCCAGAAAATGAATGAAAAATCTCACTCGTTAACTCATTGAGCACCAGTTCTCTCCCCTTGACAAGGACAACTGTCTGGTGTTAGACAGAGTATTTATTAATAAAGTTGGATTGCAACTTAATGGTTACTGTCGATGCAATGGATTTAGTGTTGATAAAATATCGCACCAATTCCTTTCCTTAATTTGATCAATTCATTTGATAGAAAATTGATCAACTTCCTGTTACTTTTGGATGAGCCAATTAGATTTCGTTTCAGAACCGATTGACCAATAGGAAACGCACAGGAAGTAAAAAGAAATTTGAATTCGTATGAATTGATCAACTTGAGGAAATGAAGTCATGCAATATTTTATGTTTTTATCAACAGTCAACACTTCCATTGCATCAACTGTATTAAATTGATGAGATTTCCCACATTATATTGCATACACCTAATGTTTAGACGGATTGAAAATTGTAGATTGTAAAATTTCTACAACATTCTTAGAACATGTACTAAGGAGCCATGTCCATATTCATGTTGCCACAAATTTCGTCAAATCTACGTTATGAGTGGGTGGGTTTTTATGTGAACTTGTCAACGTTATCTCGTGGCAAATATTTGACAATTAATGTCCAAAGTAACCATCCCAGTATCCAAATATTATATATTGTATATTGTATCAAAATACAACCCCAGCCAATGACGGTAGTAAAGTACAACAATTGTGAGTTTAGCTGTCAAAACACAACTGAATATTCATCGACGTTATCTGGGGTGGGTGAAATAATGTCGATTCAACGTTATTTCTGGCCAGTGTGGAAAGTTTGTATCGCGTGGCGGATATCTCCGGCGCACAATTTTGATACTTTTTATATATTTACTATTAAACTTTCGAAATCTCCGGCGCACAATTTCCAAACTTTCCAGTCAGGAATTTTCTGGCAATATGAATATGGACATGGCCCCTAAACAAATGAAACACTGTATTTTATACATACTAATCAATAAATGTTTACAACACAAAATTATTTCAACAAAACACGGATATATGTTTGTATTTATATCATTTATAAATTTAACAGTATTATTAAACTACAGTACACAGCCACCCAAACAATTTACAGTATTAAAATCGAGATTAAAATATATTAAATTTATAAATTTTAAAATTTATACTCACCCGAGCCTGAGCCGACGGATTTTGACTGGGCGGCTCCAAATAACCTTGTAGAGATTGCTCGTCCATTTGAAGTTCCTTCAACCAATGAATTTCACGCGAAATCTTTACATCTTTTGCTCATGGGAATTGAACAATCTTGATTTATTTTTTCCACGTGTGCGATTCAACTACATATTCACGGCCACAAAAAAGCTTTTGAATTCAGCCAACTTCTCTAAAAAGTAATCGATTTGGACTTGCTTAGGGTAGTAACATTGTCTGTTAAAATGAGATAATTTCACAGAGTTTCAAAGTTTTTATGCAATCTTGTATCATTTACAAAAATATTATAATGTTCCTTTCACAACGATGTATTTTTATTTCATCATCTTCTTTTCCCCTACTGCCGTCCTTTTTGTCTCTAGCATTTCGAGAATTTTTTCGCAAACGCCATTTGCAACTCCAGTTGTAAAATGCAGCTCAGTGTCAGTGAGTTACCCTATATTAAAATTCACAATGAAATATCGCTAAAATAATTTCTGTTACCTCTATTTAATGCTAAACTTCTGTTGTAAACTTTTAAATGTTTATACTAAAGATTTAAAAGTCTATATTAAATGTTTTAAATTTTAGTAACGTTTAGATTTTTGCACCTCAATATTGGTGAGTTGTTCATTATCCCCAAAAGAACCCTTGTATCCATAGGTGGATTTATATTAGCCTTCATCAACCCTCTTCTTCCTCAACTCAGGGTGTGTGAATCGTGTAACATTTGAAAGAAATTTAAAGCAATTTCTTGTGATTTTCTTCGTTTTAAAGTTCTTTCCGTTTGCAATGGATGAAGAATATGACTACGTCGTCCTCGGTACCGGTTTAAAGGTACGTATAAGAGTCGTGATTTGCAAAAATTCACAATTTTGCGTGCGTGAAATCGAGTTAAATGCCCGATCAGTTCGAGTCATCAGGACAGAACAGAAGAAACCATTTCCAGTTTATAAAACTCGACGTTGTTATTCTATTTATGATGTAGTGGATGCTCATAATTCTTCTGGTGAAATATTGGTGTGGAGTCCAAAAGTGCTTTTGCTTTAATAAAACTACAAAGACTTTCATATTTCACTGAGATTTTTGCGATCAGCTCCATATTAATGGTCTGTCAGTGCATTTTCACTTTGTTTGCTTATATAAATTCATTTGCAATTTGATCTTTATACACTTCCTTTATACACTTCCGTGTATTAAAGCTTGTTTCACGGATTTTTCAAGAGATTTCGGGTGTTGATCAGCAATGTTATGTAAAATATTTAGTTTTATCTGAAACGGAATTTGTACCTGAAAACAAAGGACCAGTTGCATTGCATTGCATTGTCGTTTTGAAGGAAATTTACTAACTAAAGGAATATGTCACACATTGGGACGTATATCTTTGATCTGGGGTTTTTCACAACAATGCAGTACTTAACATATTTACTGTAAAGTTTCTGAAACGTTCTCTGATCGTAAATTTTTATTTGAAACACAAGCTTTCGACTGCCAGTCTGCAGTCTTCGACAGGTAAAGTGATAATAAACTATTCTACGGATATGGCTACAAGGACAGTGGTTTACAATTACAATTATAATCACATGCTAACAATGATTAGTTCCGCCTACGTAAACTCTCAGTGAAACGAGTATACTTATAAATATAAAACTATGTCTATGATCTGTTCTTTTTTGATAAAAATCTATATTGTTCCGGTAAATGTTGTGCATTGTTGTCAGAATTGGCTGTGGTTGCTGTATGCCAGGACTCCAGTGTTGCTCTGTGTCGATAGGTTGCCTTGTCTAAGATTTTGCTATGTTTGTGCCGGATTTACATTGTTTCACGTTTCTTTTATGTTCCTTTTTTCTCGTTTCGAGAGCTCTACCAGTCTCACCTATGTAGCTCCAGGAGCAGTCTGCGCAATTAATCTTGGTCTGTTTTTCAAGAAGTGGTCTGTCCTTTGGTGACGGAAAGCCTTGTTCTAATGTTCGGAGTGGTTTCGTTGTTGTTCTGATGCCGTATCGTTTGAGTAGTCTTTTCAGGGGTTCCGTTGAGCCGTTGATGTAGGGGAGGACTGCATAGCTGGAATTGTTCTCTGGTTCGACATTTTCAAAAAACATACGTACAAGTTCTTCGGGTGATGGCACAAATTCTGTTTTCCTTGCACATCTCTTCTCGACTTTGTCCAGAAATATTTTAGGATACCCATTACTTCTCAGAGCGACAAAAACACGATCTCTCTCTTGTTGCTTGCCTTCGTTCGTGTTAGGGAGATGGGCTGCTTGGTGAAGGAGTGTTCGTGCTGTGCTGATCTTGTGTTGTTTGTCATGATGTGAGTTGTAGTCTAGGTATCTGTCAGTGTGTGTAGGTTTACGGTAGACGTTAACGTTGAGACACCCGTTGTTACGGGTTACCATTGTGTCTAAGAATGAGAGTTGTCCGTTTTGTTCTTGTTCAATAGTGAAGTTTATGTGTGGGTCAATGGCATTCAGTAAATTGTGGAAATTAGTAATAGCGTGTTTTTTGATGATTGAAAAACATCATCCACAAAGCGAAACCATTTTTTAGGTGGCGTGTCGGTTCGGTTAAAGGCTAGTTCCTCGATTTCCTCCATACAGAGGTTTGCCACAATAGGGCTAACGGGACTGCCCATAGCACAACCGTGAATTTGTTTGTACGTCTCGTTATTATAGTTGAAATAGCTGTTTGACAAAGTAAAGCGTAAGAGTTTAATGATATCGTCAATGGATAAATTAGAACGTTGTCCTAGTGTGTCATCTTTGCTAAGTTTGTTGCGAATGTGTTCACATGCTCTATCGACTGGAATGGCAGTAAACAATGACACAACGTCAAATGAAATCATAATTTCGTCATCCTCAATGGTGGTGTTAATCAGTTTATTAGTGAAGTCAGTAGAGTTAGTGACTGAGTAACCGTTGTGATTTTGTAATGGTGACAAAATATGTGCAAGGTGTTTGGACATGTTATAAAGAGCGGTGTTCCTACATGTTACAATGGGACGAAAAATTCCAGCTACGCAGTCCTCCCTTACATTAACGGCTCAACGGAACCCCTGAAAAGACTACTCAAACGATACGACATCAGAACAACAACGAAACCACTCCGAACATTAGAACAAGGCTTTCCGTCACCAAAGGACAGACCACTTCCCGAAAAACAGACCAACGTCGTGTACAAGATTAATTGCGCAGACTACTCCTGGAGCTACATAGGTGAGACTGGTAGAGCTCTCGAAACGAGAAAAAAGGAACATAAACGAAACGTGAAACAATGTAAATCCGGCTCAAACATAGCAAAACATGCTTGGACTCAGGACCATAAAATCAACTTTGATGAGTGCGAAATCTTAGACAAGGCAACCTATCGACACAGAGCAACAATGGAGTCCTGGCATACAGCAACCACAGCCAATTCTGACAACAATGCACAACATTTACCAGAACAATATAGATTTTTATTAAAAAAGAACAGATCATAGACATAGTTTTATATTTTATAAGTATACTCGTTTCACTGAGAGTTTACGTAGGCGGAACTAATCATTGTTATATTGCATGTCATTATAATTGTAATTGTAAACCACTGTCCTTGTAGCTATATCCGTATAGAATAGTTTATTATCACTTTACCTGTCGAAGACTGCAGACTGGCAGTCGAAAGCTTGTGTTTCAAATAAAAAATTTACGATCAGAGAACGTTTCAGAAACTTTATTATGAATCCTGGTCGCGCATCTAGCATTTTTAATATTATCCGCCAAGAGGCTGGGCGATATGCCCTGAAATTAACAAGATCTATAGAAAAAATCCACCTACAAACTCGAAGCCCACCATCGACATCTCAATTTTACCCACCGAGCGTTAGAAAACCATTGGTTCCCGAAATCACTTCGATTCAATCCACCTGGCAGCCATCCCATCTTTAGAACTATCATGGAAAGAGCAACAACTCATTGTATGCGTGCAAGAATCAGCATTTGCCACAAACAAATACGATCTACTAATCGTATCATAGCTGACAACCGACACGAACTGTCAACTTTAATTTCCGATGACTCCCTCGCTCGTTTTTCCCAGTTTTTGAAAAGTAGAGCTGAATCGGTCCAAAATCGCATCACCACGAGGCATCAAAAAAAGTTACAGAATTTGAGACAAGAATTTAGAACCGGAAACACAACTGACTCAGAGAAATGGGTTATTAACCTTTCCAGCAGACCCCTGTCCACAGACGAACGTGCCATACTAGGAAAAGGCCCTAAGTTTGCTCTTACACCATCTATTATCCCTTACAAGAACATAGTTGCCGAAATCGAAGCCGCTATCACTGATTTACCGGACGAGTCCAAAGATGCCATACGAACATCAGCTGCGAACATTCTAAATCGCTCCAACTTGCCCAAGCATAAAAACACCACCGCCGCCGAACGCAAAGCACTTGAAGGCCTGAAGAAAGACGAGACGCGCGTTGTCATGAAAGCAGATAAAGGCAATTGCTTTGTGGTCATGGACAAGAAAGAATATGACGAGAAGATGCAAGTTCTCCTGTCTGACCCAAACACCTACGACAAAGTAACGAAGCCTCCTTTTAAAAGAATTGAACGTGAGTTAAACTCCCAATTGCTCGAACTCAAACGACAACAAAAACTTGACGAACGAACATACAAAAAACTGCATTCAACTGACGGCATACCCCCCGCTATCCGCGGGTCAATCAAACATCACAAACCAGGCAATCCATTGCGCCCCATTGTAACATGTAGGAACACCGCTCTTTATAACATGTCCAAACACCTTGCACATATTTTGTCACCATTACAAAATCACAACGGTTACTCAGTCACTAACTCTACTGACTTCACTAATAAACTGATTAACACCACCATTGAGGATGACGAAATTATGATTTCATTTGACGTTGTGTCATTGTTTACTGCCATTCCAGTCGATAGAGCATGTGAACACATTCGCAATAAACTTAGCAAAGATGACACACTAGGACAACGTTCTAATTTATCCATTGACGATATCATTAAACTCTTACGCTTTACTTTGTCAAACAGCTATTTCAACTATAATAACGAGACGTACAAACAAATTCACGGTTGTGCTATGGGCAGTCCCGTTAGCCCTATTGTGGCAAACCTCTGTATGGAGGAAATCGAGGAACTAGCCTTTAACCGAACCGACACGCCACCTAAAAAATGGTTTCGCTTTGTGGATGATGTTTTTTCAATCATCAAAAAACACGCTATTACTAATTTCCACAATTTACTGAATGCCATTGACCCACACATAAACTTCACTATTGAACAAGAACAAAACGGACAACTCTCATTCTTAGACACAATGGTAACCCGTAACAACGGGTGTCTCAACGTTAACGTCTACCGTAAACCTACACACACTGACAGATACCTAGACTACAACTCACATCATGACAAACAACACAAGATCAGCGCAGCACGAACACTCCTTCACCGAGCAGCCCATCTCCCTAACACGAACGAAGGCAAGCAACAAGAGAAAGATCGTGTTTTTGTCGCTCTGAGAAGTAATGGGTATCCTAAAATATTTCTGGAAGAAGTCGAGAAGAGACGTGCAAGAAAAACAGAATTCGTGCCATCACCCGAAGAACTTGTACGTATGTTTTTCGAAAATGTCGAACCAGAGAAAAATTCCAGCTACGCAGTCCTCCCTTACATTAACGGCTCAACGGAACTCCTGAAAAGACTACTCAAACGATACGACATCAGAACAACAACGAAACCACTCCGAACATTAGAACAAGGCTTTCCGTCACCAAAGGACAGACCACTTCCCGAAAAACAGACCAACGTCGTGTACAAGATTAATTGCGCAGACTGCTCCTGGAGCTACATAGGTGAGACTGGTAGAGCTCTCGAAACGAGAAAAAAGGAACATAAACGAAACGTGAAACAATGTAAATCCGGCTCAAACATAACAAAACATGCTTGGACTCAGGACCATAAAATCAACTTTGATGAGTGCGAAATCTTAGACAAGGCAACCTATCGACACAGAGCAACAATGGAGTCCTGGCATACAGCAACCACAGCCAATTCTGACAACAATGCACAACATTTACCAGAACAATATAGATTTTTATTAAAAAAGAACAGATCATAGACATAGTTTTATATTTTATAAGTATACTCGTTTCACTGAGAGTTTACGTAGGCGGAACTAATCATTGTTATATTGCATGTCATTATAATTGTAATTGTAAACCACTGTCCTTGTAGCTATATCCGTATAGAATAGTTTATTATCACTTTACCTGTCGAAGACTGCAGACTGGCAGTCGAAAGCTTGTGTTTCAAATAAAAAATTTACGATCAGAGAACGTTTCAGAAACTTTATTATGAATCCTGGTCGCGCATCTAGCATTTTTAAATTATCTAGTATGTGATATGCAATCCTCTGGCTTACAGCTCAAATCTGTGGCTGCGTTGGTTCACAACAAAGGAGATAAATATCAGCATTTTGGGCATCTCACTCTATATTTAACTAAGTGTTGAAGGCATTTGTAGATGGAAATTTTGAGTGGAATTTGTATACATTTATCAGTTGTCAGGAACAGTTGCGAAAAATGCAACTATCAGCCATCTGGCAGGAATCGAACCTGCGTCCCTGTGATTCGAGTGCAGTGCTCTAACCAACTGAGCTGCAGTTGTTGAGCTCTAACTACAAGTTCATGTAAACACTAAAGGTGATGCCAATGTACGTTGTATGGGTAAATATCAGCATTTTGGGCATCTCACCCAAAATACTGTAACTAATTCAATCCACTCAAGATTTTCATCTACAAATCCCTTCAACAATTAGTTACATGTATATCAAGTGAGATGCTGATATTTACTCAAAATGCTGATATTTACTCGCACACCATACATTGGCATCACCTTAGTGTTTATACATCAGGGCTCGAAATAACGGCCGATCAACGATCAATGATCGGCAGGAAATTGTTTTTGATCGGCGAAGAAGCAACGTTGCCGTTCATCTTGATCGGCAAGAAATATATTTGAACATTGTCTGAAAGACATGCTTACCTGCACGCGGTAAAAGACAAATAAAAGTAACATAAAACAAATTCAAAAACACGCGAAAAGCTCTTGTTTAGTTGATTCGATTCTTACGACAGGAAAGCAGGGTTTTTTTCAGGGATTTTTTAGGGCCGTTAAACGGCCCCAAAAACTCAATCTTGAATGGATGACTTGCGCTTTAGAAAAATTTTTAATCCGGGAATAACAAAGGATAATTTCGGAAAGAAGTTATCAAAATTAGAAAAACTGCAAAGTTTGGTTGCGAAATGTTGTAAAATACGGAAAATATAGCCCTGCGAATTTGGCAAATTTGTATACATTTCTATTACGTGCGGAAATTGGTAACTAATTTAGTTACCAATTCACGCACGTGATACAAAAGTATACAAATTTGCCAACTTTGAAGGGCTATATTTTCCGTATTTTACAACATTTCGCAACCAAACTTTGTAATATTACTAATTCCAAGACGCTCTTTCTAGCTGTGGTGTTAGATTTCGTTGTTCTTACTTACAGGTAGATTAAATTTAGTCTAAAGCGCAAGTCGTCCATTGAGTTTTGAAACTCAATCTTCTCACCAAAGTTTCAGTGTAGTAAAAATGAAGTTGTTTGAGTTAAATTCGTGATGTGTGGAAATTAGTTTTCAGTTGGAAACCCGACAATTAAAAAAAATGGCTGGAATTCATCTCACAACACAAGAAAAACTATGCATTTGCAATCTTTAACCAGTTTATAGTGTCCTTTAGTGTCCCTGCTTTAACACATTCCGTCTCAACTACACTTATTGAGTACAGGTGTCGGCCCCCGGTAGGGAGGGGGGGGGGGTGTAGCCACCCCAGCTGTTCAGCTAAACTCAATCTTCTCTGCAAAAACGGACCCAAGAGAAAATCCTGGAAAGGCCGCAAGACTATTCTCGTTCTCAGGTAATTTTTTAAATTTGCATGAAGTATTGTCGTCTCTTCAACAGTCTGCAATCCGAACCGTTGACGACGAACGTTTTTGTTACAATAAGTCAAATTGATAGGATGTTTTTAGTAGGATTTTTTTTTTAGTATAGGATTTTCTCTTTTAATAATATTAAATAATTAGTTTTAGTTCTTAATTGATAATGCTGCTGTGTTTTTTGCTTTTATGTGAAAAAATGCAATAACTATAATTAAAACTTGAAAAGTGTTATAGTCGTTATAATAAACTAAAGTTTATTGAACAGCACTTAAATGTAGTTACACTATTAAAATTATATATATAAGTCAACAAATGTCGTAGATTTAAACCTGAATTTGAAATAAAGTTAAACTTCCTGTTCAGATGTGTATTCACTGGCATATTTATAATTTTTCTTTTCAAGGAAACTTGGGCAAATTTGCTCCTGATCGGCCAGATTATTAATTGATCGGAAAAAAGTCGTGATTGCCGATCACCATGATCGGGAACATTGGGAACGTTATTTCGAGCCCTGTACATGAACTTGTGGTTAAGAGCTAGACAACTGTAGCTCAGCTGGTTAGAGCGCTGCACCGGAATCACAGGGCCGCTGGTTTGATTCATGCCAGAGGGCCGCTGGTTAGGTCTAATAAATGTATAAAGATTCCACTCGAAATTTTCATCTACAAATCCCTTCAGTATACAAAGTCTATAACCAGATAATGGTCGATATTATTTGGTTCATTTTTGTCCCCTTGAAGGTAAACTGACATGATGCGCAGCGTATCAAAGCATGACGCTTGTGATTTACAACTTTTCTGGTGATCATGAATGCCCATTGACGCCTGCGAGAAACCTATGCAAGATCTTGCCATTAACTTGCCAAGAACTTGCCACGTTCTTGGCACGATTATGCCATTTTCCTGTCATGTTTTTGCGAAGATCTTTCTAGAAGTTCTTGCTATGATCTTGCCAACAATTTGCCAATTGTATGAATATTGTCAGTGGCCGGTTGTCTATGCGCAAATACTCACATGAGATCTAACAGGTATCTGGGGGCAGCAATGACGTTTTCACCAATTACTATACAATAAAATATAATATTTTCTTTTCTCGATCGTGTTCATTGTATTGAATTTATGTTTTTATTCAATTTTATTCATTTATGGACTTCACTCACTAGCAGTAATTATTCTTGTCTTACTGTGATATCAGTAAGATCTTGGTGAACATCCTGACAAGATTTTGACAAGAGGCGCAGTAAGATAATTTAATGTATCAATCATGTCAAGATCTTGGTTCAATCTTGGCAGTATCCAACGTGGTTGGAGCAAGGTCTTAGAAAATCATACTGCAAGACTTGTTACAATCTTCGCAGAATTTTCGAAAATGGTATGATCTTGGCTTGAAGATTATAACAAGATCTTCAGTTGGTACTGTACTGTACAATCACGGCACGATCACGGTGAAATCTTGCCAGGATCATGGCAAGATCTTGAAGGATCATGCCAAGTTTGTTACGAGATCATGGTACGTACCTTTGTAAAATCTTGGCAAGATCACGACAAGATGAGATTGTAATAAGATCAAAGCATAATCATGGTAAGTTCTTGGTGAAATGTTGGCAAGATCTTGCCAATATTGTAACAATGTCATCATGATGGTAAAATCATGGCAAGATATCGGTATTGAAAGATCTTGCCAACATTGTTACAAAACTCATGGCATGTATTAGTGAAATCTTGTTAAGATCTTATCATGATTGTAAGATCTTGCGAAGATGTCCCACCTGAGATTATATCAGTTGATTGTGATTTTGAAATATAGAATATTAAATATTTTACAGGAAACTGTCATGGTGTGATTCAACAGGTCAAGGATTCTCTCTAGAATATCCTGCAATATCTCTTCATGCAGTTTCTAAAGATACAACGCATTTCTCTCAGGAGTGTTTGTTTTGTATGGTTGATGGAGCATTTCAAGGTACATTACTGTATATCAGAGACAGTATTACTAGCACTATGTCATCACCTCTAATATGTAGGTTATGCTGAAAAATGAATTTGAACAAATTAAAGTACATATAAAAATATGACTAATATTAACATCTTACACACTCGTAAGTCGTATCCACGCCACCAGCGGCGACATACTGGCGAACCAGCGCTCAAACAACGTGATTGGAGAGTGTAGCTCTGTTGGAGGTTCACGCTGCTTGGTTATAGTTTACTCGGCAAGCTCTTCTAGCTAGGAGGGACTTCTTTGAGGGGGGAGGGCAGCAGTTGATAACGAAAAACACCCGACAAGACAAGACAATGCTAGTTAAGAATAACAAGAGGGGGAAAAACAAAAAACCACATTTACAAGCCCACCAAAGGCTTGGTGAGGGTACAACTAACTGTAACGTAGCAAGCAAGAGTGACCGATTACGTGACAACCAAATAACACAAACAAAAAACACCCCAAAAAACCTGGCAAGCAGCCAGAGAGCCGCCAAGCAGCCGGAGAGACGACCGAGGACTGCAACTGCATGGCCGAAGGTACCGACGGCGACAGCAACAAGAGACCAGTGCAGGCCCTAGCAAAGGTGCATCATAGGTACTCAGCCCACCGGGGGAAAACCAAAACCCAACGCCCACATGGGGTGGGAGGGAAGGGGAATTGTGTGAACGGCGTAGCACACAGTTTGCGACTGAGCTCACCAAACCCTGAGCCCTTCCTCAGAGACACCTCCCAGCATCCTATTATTGGCCAGTAAGAATGAATAACTGAATAATATACATATAAATGAACTGACAGCACGACTCGATGTTAATTATTTTTATTGCATAAACACATAATATTCAGGTAATATGCATTTTTAATGAATGGGATATCTTCATTATATGTCAGCATGGAGGAAACTTATATATGATGTATACACAATGTTGCTTCCAGGAAGGAAAAAAAAAACATACAAACGTTTTCGAAAGTCGAAACGCGAACTAATTGTCAAACGCGAGCAAGAGATAGCAGTTAAAGATTTACTCCTTCGATTGAATGTTTTGGCCGTTCTACCTATACTACAGGTTATGGGAAAAGCATGATTTTGACATTGTTCTTGTTGGCGCAAGAAAATAAAGCGAGAATAAATACAGACGGCCGTATAGTCTTTCTTGCAACGGGTTTTATATAAACAGGACTACTACGCCTAGACCTATTAGTATTAGCCGCTTCACTTTCTGAACTTTTTAAGGCTTTCTTTACTACACGGCTTCGTTCGGGAGACGAGACAGTTTATATTGGCAACTGAGGTTTTTAGTATTCGACTGTCTATTTGTTCGATACGTACACAGGCAACGCGTTTATGTCTCGTTTGATTTAATATGGCAATCAGTTCGCTTGCGCTTCGGATCTTTCGCCCACACGATTTACAAACTTGGTCGGATAGTTCTGAGGTAGAACTAACTTCGTTCCTAAATGAACTGAACACAATTCGGCTTATTTCGGCCAAGGTTTTGCCACTGTCGTAATCGTTTCTTTTGCTTGGCTTAAATAAATAATTTATCCGACGATATGTAAGATGAATTTTTTTTTTTCTGTGTTGGTGTTGTGTACTCAGGTGAATAATATGTTTGCGATGTTACTCAGTGCATATCCACACCGGGCGAGCTTGAAAAATATGCCCGGCCACGGTGGGATTCGAACCTACGACCTTTGGAATACTAGCCCAATGCTCTTCCAGCTGAGCTACGCGGTCAGGACGGTTCGAGTAAGTGATATTTCGGAACAGTATCTAGTTCCTTCAATACCAATATGTTCTACTAATATGAATTTTTTTTTCCTGTGTTGGAGTTGTCTACTCAGGTGAATAATATGTTTGCGATGTTACTCTGGGTGCATATCCACACCGGGCGAGCTTGAAAAATATGCC